ACAAAATTAGAAACAACTGATCAATTAGGAATTTCGAAAAGTTCAATCAATGAACCCAAAGAACAATACTCATTGTCTTCGTCTGGCGAATACGAATACGAATTTTGAAACCTAATGTTTATATTCACACATTTTTTCACTTAAGTTATCTAAACGTAAAATTTTCGTGCGTTGAGAATTGATTATGGATCATGTAATTTAACTGCCTAATTTAGAATAACGAGAGTCGTTTGCAGATAAACGGACAAGCCTCCAAACTTCGCAAACTTTTAACAACCGCTAATAACAATTTCATTAAAATTAATTCACGGACACATACAGTATAAGGCCATAACCTTCATCGCATGATATGCAAGATAAATACAGTGAAAACAACACACTCTTGTAGTTACTTTAATTTTGAAGGTATATCTTTTGAGTTTAAATACGAAATCGCTAATCTAAATGCCTGTCGTAACGCATATTGTAAGAGGTGTGTTATCTGTCGTTTATTGATAAAACGAGATAGGGAGGTTGTATTCGCGTATCACAATATACTTAAAGGTCAGTGTCACTTTTACGCGAAAACAAAAATAATATTGCGTCTCAAAATTATTAGCGAAGAAAGAATAGGAAATATCGACAAATTGTGAAAATTAACAAGACTCATTTTTTACACGAATTTTGAATGGAGTACCAAAAAAACTTATCGCGAATTCAGGTAATTAAAAGAGAGATAATTCAAGCATCTATAAAACTAGAAGGTTGGCATAACTCCACTAAAATGTTGAACGTGGCGAAATGTGGCGCACAAAAGTGCATTTACCTAAGCCAGTCGAACTGATAAAGACCTACGTCAAACTATAAACAAACGCAATTGTTTACCGAAATACCTACAGCAAGAAGACGATTTTAACATCTCTTGGTCAAAAAGCATAAATTGTCATCTAAAACGGATCAAACTCTTATTGGGCGTTGATACAAAGCTTTTGGACGTTTTCACGGCGAAATAGGTAAATAACGATCTTGACGTACCTCGATCAACCTGCATATTATCTGAACACAAATTAATTTGTAAATTTAAGTAGCGACCAATTTCGGTAAACCATCATTGTCACACTAGTCGCTATTTAAATTCACAAATTAAATTAGAAGTATGGAACGTTTTGTTTTACTTTATTCATCAATTCACGTTGACCCAATTTCTCGTTTTTATTACTACACGTACGTATTATCCCCGTTTCTGCATATCATCATTGAAAACGCATAAATTTCACTCGAGCATCCAGGCAATGTGTGGACTTTGTTTCAAATTCACTTGGTATATGTGATAAATTGATAATCCAAACCTAGATCCGCACATCATAGTAATACTACACTAGTATGATCTTTGGATAAACTGATAACCCACTAGCAAAATACATACTCTTGAAAAGACAATATCGTAAAGACACGTTCCATTATGGTCAGAATTTTTTTCGATTCTGCATATGCTTACCCGTGTAGTGTGTAGGGGCGGGAAAGAATAACCCGGCGGTAGAAGGCAATGGGCGTCTTAAAAGGCGACTAAACACTAACAAGTCAGTCACCAATCCCAGCGCTAGCTAGAGGGATGATGTTTGCGGATTGACAATATTTTGAGTTCTATTTTTTACTGATTGTTTCATTTTTCAATTATGAGTTATGACTATTTTAGATAGAGTGGTATTTGGCAGAGTTTCTTGTTTTTTTTTATTTTGTATGTGGGCGAGTGGTCTTGGATACGGTTCTGAAAATCTGTAAATGCGTGTAAAAGTTTGAGACGCCAATGAGTCGTGGGATGTGACCCGATTAATTGATATTACAAGGGGAAAAATTCACAGATTTCGCAATCCTTGCAACCATCGGAGACATTGGAAATGATAACCGTATAACCTATAAAGTCATAAATAACCATTCACACGGAATAATCTTTTCTGAATCTACCAATATATTGTAGTCGAGTACTAGACGCGACACCACTGTCTTTTTTTCTACTCGGCAAACCTGGTAAATTCATACCCATACAAAACATAAGCATTTCCAATGCTAAAAACGAGGCTAAAAATTAACGATTTAAGTCGATATTACGATACCTGGAACAATGCTTATTTATTGTTATGGAACTAATACCTAAATAGCATTTTCAAAGATCCCACTACCCGCAGCCACGCACAATCTGCATCTGCTTGGAACCAACACATCGAATTTTTTTAATATCGTTGAACGATCAAATTAATTCCGAGTATCATAATATCGACTTAAATCGTTAACGCGTTATTTTAAACTACCTACATGCGAAATTATATGACTCACTAGTAGACGGGGGACACTTTCTGACCCGAAGAACCACTCAACAAATGAGTATAACTTTTGTTTGAAAAGTGATTAGACCTATTCAACAATTTTGTTCAAATATGTACACAACAAATTTCGTGGAATTCTCTCCATTTTAGTTATCCGGCGAAGAATTGCTGTGGAATTTTTTTTCGAATTTCCGAAAACTAATTTCAGATTCGGATTTTCATGTTCAAAACACTCCAAATTCCGGCGAAATAAAAATTTTGTTCTCGCCCTTTCGTGATAGGAATTTTAAGGAATGTTTTGCAAAATCGGAAAAAGCATACCCCAAAACCGAGCCCAAAACTCTCGCCAAAATCTACACAAAGGCATGCCACCAGTCTTTGTAATTGTTATGGTGGCTGAGAAAAAAACCATGGAAGATACAACGAT